CGCGTATGCGCCAAATTCCTAGCGACGAGATTCTATACCACCGTGAAAAAAAAATATGGCAGAGACGTGCGATTTTCGGGGCTCGCAAAAAACACGGACCGGTTCAGAGGCGGAGGTTCTGTTTCGATCAGATGGCCCGAGCGCCGATTTGCATGCGGCCTTTGGCTCCAGGTGTCCCGGGATTTGCATACGAAAGGGTGGCGCTCACAGATTTCTCCCTTCCCTCTCGCATTTTCGTCCCTCTCGCGATTCTCTCCCTCTCGCTTTTAACCCCCCTGGCATCCGCGCGCATTTATGGGTTACCGGCTCAGCGTGTCGCGTCGTTAACTCGACGTTAAAGTTTCGTTAACGTCGCGCTTTAACTCCCAAAGCTCCCATGGACGAATGGAATTTCCGATCGAATCCAATTACTATCAGCGATCGAGGAAGCGCGATGACAATCGGTTAAATGTGACGTCTACGCTGGAGCGTACACGTGTCCGTCGAATGATTCACAGCGGAAACTTCTTGTGCCTTTGCAAAGGGGATACGGGACGCACTTCTAATATCAAATAAATAAACCGATAGAAAAGAATTTTGGCGATTATTTGCTTCAAAAATTGGCTCTCTTTATGAATACATCTCGGTCTCTCGCGTGCGCAATGATTTTACGAAGATATTCGGTATGTGAGTCTTTCGTTAGATATATTAATTCATGACGTGTCTCTCTCGCCACTACTTCAAGCTTAAAGGATATGTCTGGCGCTTTTTGCGTCTGCCGTCTTGCCAGATGTAGCGCGATAGCAGCGCGATAGCAGCGCGATTTTAAAGAAGAAAGATAGACTAACGAACCGTTGTCCTCGTCGTCCTCGCCATCGTCGTTGTACTAATTATTTTGCTCGTTAACGACCTCGAGAGTTTAATTGGGCGACGTGACGATCAACGCGACGAGCCCCTCCCTATCCCGTATGTGAGTATACGGTTAACCTGAGAATATCGATTCTAGACACCATGCCGCCTTGCGGTTTGGAACATGCCATAACGTGTGGCGAATAATAATTATGCACCGCAACAGTTGTGCGTCAGTCAAGATTGCATTGGCCTAATATACCTAAACGATTATTGCGCGTAGAATATGGTCACGCAAAATTAAAAGCACGTGCAGTGATTTCCGAAGCGCCTGTAACGATACTTATTTACTAGGCATCATCCTTTTAATTAAAATCTTGCGTTTTATTAAAATCTTCCCATTTTATTTGCGTTTTATTATTTGTTTATTCAGATTTTCTATATAATATAATTTTCTATCTATTGATAAATAAAAATTAATAGAGAGAAAAAGAGAGATTCTTTGAACCTGAAATTATATTATCATATTTAATGGAAACTTTATCGGGCCATTAATAACTCTTTTCAAAGATCATCGATATCTTTTATCGGATTACAAAGAGAAGTTGGAGTCCCCGGATGGCAGTATGAATTTACTAGAAACAGTTCAAAGTTCGAGAAGTTTGGTTCTCTCCTTCGCAATTATTGATCTGATAATGGTCGCGGGGCAACCGGTGTGCACGCTCTGACCATTTAAGTTCGTTACGTGCACGAAATGCACTTTCGAGTTTCTACCGCGGCACAAACTTTTTCGGCGAGAGTGCACTCGATGTCAGCCTAAATAATTAAAACTACCTAGTCTACGTACGTGCGCGATAAGTTCATTTTTACTTTGTCGAAAAATCGGCAAACGAATGCGCGCGATGTAAAAAATTAATGTATATCGTGTTGCTATGAAATTTAAGATGTTTATGGAAAATAGTTCATATTCATGGCATTATATGAATCCCGTTCTCCTAAATCTTAATATAAATTCCGACTTATGTTATTTAATTATTCTTTATCGGATTTTTTATATAGTATTGAAAAATTATATTAAACGTTTTATCACACATATTCACGCGGAATTTATAAATCATCGAGAAATATTTATCAAAAGTCAAAGGTCCCAGTTTAAATCAATCTTCACGATGCTATCTGCCTGAAATCCACAATACTTATTGTTGTCCCTTATCTGCAAATGTTATTCGCTGTCCTTCCGGAATGCAAGAACTATAAATTATGGTGTCTGTGTATGTAGCCATAAACATTACTTAACTGCGCAATATGTGCGCGTTGCGCGCTGCATTTGCATAAGTTCGCGTGAAACGCCTCGCGATGTCGTCGCTCTTTCTTCTTGTTTTTCTCTTTATATATCCCTCCTTCTCCTTCCCACTCGTGGCGTTCATCACCATTGCGTGCGTCCTGCGACATGACGCTCAGGAATTTTTTTTAATGGTGTCCTATTGCAAGAAGGTTCGTTAAATTTCACGGAGACATACGGCCTATTCCATTTGTGCGGCTGACATAGTCGTACAAGCTTTGGAATTTTTTTCCAAAAGAATGCATTGTTGTAAAATTTTTTATTGAGGTGTTACCTTTTCATTATCTGTATTTGTTTTTTCGCTAGAAGCCAATTATTCTCAATGTATATCATGCAAATTAATTTCATTTTCTTCGTTAAAAAAAAATAGCCAAATTGATCAAACAAACAAAATTGATCATTTTTTATATGATTATTGATAATATGAACATGTTAGCAAGTGTGTAATAATTCACGCAATATCCCGATAATGATTAGAATTCAATTAATTATATTTAAATAATACAATGATATCTCAGAATTTTTGACATTACTTTCTTATAACAATCACAGAAAATAAGAAAAAAAAAATTCTTATAATTATATTAAATATCCGAAAAAAATCAGACAATAACAAAATCATTATATTTAATATTACAATAATTTTATGTTATTTCTCGAATGAATTAATTGTAACTAATTTTATTTTGTACAGTGTGATCTATTTTATATGAACATAATTGTCTTGTGCAATACTTAAAATATCTAAACGAAAGAAACGAACATGATTTATATCTAATTATGCACAGCGTTAATTAGTTATTAGTTATTGTTTCACGTTAGAAACACTCTGATGATACTTTAATATTCAAAAGACACCATGCATAGCGCTTATAAATTGAATAACGTCGAGACACGAGGTCAGTTCATCGAGTCATTGTCCCTGGCTTCCCGAGCGATAAAGTCAAACCTAAATCGTTATCTTTACTGTGCCACAGCATTTACTTTCTTTTTCTGTCTTTCTCTTTCTCTACAAGCGCAAGCGTTTCGAAATCGACTCCCGTCTAAAAGACCCCTGCCACTCTTTATCTTCCGGTTTGTTGAACATATAACAAAGACGTTTCTTTCTCTTGAAAAAAGAGGAGAGCAAAGCGACGACGGTGAACCGATTTGTCTCTCTCTCTCTCTCTCTCTCTCTCTCAAGAATGATCAACAACATTCTCTTCTTTTTGCCTGTGCTCTTTGCACTTGCTCATTTCTCCAATTAATTCTCATTTATACAATTGCTTCGATTCTAATGTTAATACACTACTTAAATCACCAGAATATTATTTTCTTTAATATACTGCATCGGAGATGATGTGTCCATGATAATCGCAATTATCTATTTTCTTTCTCTAATAAAAATGATACGAGAAGTATAAGTGAAAAAAAAACGAACGCAGCGACTCGTAAACATGGCGGTTGGTATAAACGTTTAGGCAACGTACACAGTTAATCATAATTGTTCAACTGGCTTGATGACTCTAATTAGTAGCACTTCTGCAATGCCGCGCGTTGAGTTTTATGATTCTTCGTTCCAGTTTATTCCTTCCTTTTCAACGATCACATAGCTCTATTAATATTAATATATACATGTATATATCTTGCGAGAAATACAATGTAAAAAAATATTATACTCTGACGAAATAAAAATTATTAAAAATACAAATTATTTTTTTTATAACGAATAATGTAACGTAAGTACAGATAATGTCAGAAATAAACATTTATGGAGAGATTTAAATTATATATATTACATTTAATTAAAATATATTCTCTTTCTTCTTTCTTTTTAAAGATCATAATAAAAACTCATGTATTATATTTATGTATATCTTATTATATAAGATATACATATTTATTAAAATAAAATACGATATCTAATTAAAGTATCCGCGATAAAGTGTAAAAGCAACCCATCTTTTAATAAAACCGATATTTTCTATCATAATATGATAGCCAATTGTAATAATTTTTGATCATCTATATAAGAAAATGCAATAATTCTTCGTTACATTGATTGACAAACATATTCAAACACGTAGAATGTTGATAGTAATACTATCAGCTACTGTTTAAATCAATTTTGACAGAATATTCATTATAAACGTTTCGTTCCGCGCAAAACAATTTGCGACCGACTAAAATATCACACCTTACATCTTACCGAGACGACTTTGAGAAGACAAAAGCAATCTGAGAATTTATCCGACTCTCAAGCGCAACAACGTTACACGGACGAAACATCGGTACGGAGGGGGCACGCGAAGTTAAAGTCGAAGTTATCGTTTGTTTTTCCGCGCGTCCTCTCTCACGCGCGCTCTCTTCAGAGATTTCTCTTCTGAAACCCTTTGCGCCCAAGAGAAACGCCGCGCTGAGCCCTGCCATGTGTTTCGAATGAATTTACATCACGTCCCACCGTGTACCAACGTCACTTTTTGCCGGTGTAAGTGCGTGTGCGTCGCACACACGCGTATATACGTATACCTATGTGCGTGTGTGCGTGCGCGCGCGGGTCGGCCAGCATGTGGGCAGAGATTCCCTGCAGCGGCAGATGTTGGACCATCTTCCCGTGGCCCCCTCGAGATACGAAACTTTGTATGATTATACCCTATCTGCCCACCGAGGGCAGGGCCGTACCGTCTTGCCGGCTTCTTCCTTCGACTTGGCCGCGCGATCTAGTCTCGATGACTAAACGCAACATTTCCTAATCTCTAACAATAATTGTGCGACTTTCCACGTCGAATAATGTTCTACAAACGCGCGTTATCTGCTTGTACGAAAATAATTATTATTGCACGAAACGGTGTATTTATCATAAACTTTTTTTATTAAGTTTTCTTAAAACATATTGCGTTATTGCTTACGGCTTAACAGACCAAGCATCTTACCGATCGGTGCCACTGATTGTGAGTAACTGCAATCTTCTTTCCGGGCTTTGAATCTAAAACAAGAAGAAAATAATGGATTAATATCCGGACAGTCATGTCATTTCGACTGTGAAACGGGTTTTAAACTTTCGCGATTTAATAATAAAATACACCTGGGCTATATCAAAAGTTCGACAACTGTATTTATAGTTTATGTGTTGTGTATGTCAGGAATAATTGACAAACTATAACTGTGATATAATTTATTACGATTTTTCTTTTTTCTTTTTCCTTAAAGAAATGTAATATTTTTTCGATATATATGCGATTAATTCGTTTGGACGGATATCAAATTATTTTAATTAATAGGAAAAAAGAAAAAAATAAAGAAAACGTAATTATTTAATTGTCTAAAAAAAATTATTGTAATTTGAGATTGGAAAGTGGTATGAAGTGTTTGGGTATTTTAAATTAATTCTTCAAAACTGGAATGTTTCGATGGAAATTAATTTAACTTCCTCTTTGACATTAACTTTTACACATGACTTCCCATGACAATCCCTTCGAGTCGCCCTACATCCTGGCAATCGGCCCGGGTATTAATTCAAACCCTTTTTTAAGGCAAAGGGATAATACGCATGGTCCCAACGTATGACAGTACTTTATAATAGTAATTAGTATAATGAATGCGTTGCTAATGCTACTTATTTCTACGAGCCACGAGAGATTGTATGACGTGCGAGTACAAGCACATTTATGTACCTACAAACGAATGAATAATTCAGTAAGGAAGGGAACACAAAGTGTATCGTATCGTTACAGTTATAAAATCCACACACGTTGCATGTTTTTCAAGCATTCACTGCTATTCAATGCCGATATTTAATCTTTCACAAAATTAATCTATAAATCAGATATATGTGTATAACTCGATATGAAAAATTACAAGTAATATTTTTAGGATTTTTCAAGATTATTTAAAATAAAAAATGAAAGCCTTGTTTCTATCATCTTATCTGACACGTTTGCGATATTGACTGAAAAGTTTGCACATAAAATTCATGTTTATCCCACGAGATATTATCCGATAATGCTTTTCGTCGAAAGTCGATTCCAAAACTCAATTTCATTTGCTTGGTCCATGACACGATCTATACCTTCGTCCTTAGCATTACGTATTCTCGCTCTCTGCTCGCTCTTTCTTCCCTTCTCATATTATTGTTGTGCCTCGCCCGTTTTTTTCCTCTTTTATTTTTTTTTTTTAATTTTTAAACTGGCGAAACGTCTTCGAGGTTAGGCGATCGAGCATCGCGGCAAACAGGGTGTTCATTATAAATCACATCAACCGGAGGAAGCAAAACGAAGAGAAAAGGCGCGAGGCATAGGGGAGCACCAACTACAGATTATTCTGTGTAATATCTTCTTCGGAATCCAATGACTACCAAATTTTGTCTCATTGATTTTCGATATTAATTTGCTTCTTGCAAACGAGAATATTTTGTTCCGTTTTCTCAATTTGATATGATCTTGTAAATTTTGCTTTTGTCTTTCGCCTTTATTTAATTTAATAAGTTTATCTGCATCTTTTTATTTATATTACAAAAATTGAGATGAAGAATTGGAACTTGTAAAATATTCTGCATGTCTACAAATTTATCACGACGAGCGAGATATTTTTTTAATATTACTTTGCATCTGTTTCGATCCTGTCATCGCTTCCTTTAAAATTAATATTGCTAGGATTGCTGTGTCATATATTATTCTACGACACCGTCGTATTAACATCAAATAAGCTTACGCGAGAAGATTTGCTGCTACCTAGAACAGAAGTCAAAGGACGCACAGGATAGTTCTTAACCCTTTAACACGAAAATTCGGCGCAGTAGGGTGATGGGGATATGGAACCTATTAATATTCTTTGGGAACCCTATGAGAAAAACTTTTGAGGGGACTTTTTTTCATCTATTAACATAAAACGACCATCGCGTAGTTTCTCACGAAATTCTTAGCAGTATTCATTTTCGAAAGATTGTTAAAACATTTTACATTTATATTTAACAATTTTTATCACACACACACATTATTAATAAAATATATTTACGGATATAAAAAAAATTTATAAAATATGCTGTAAGTCTTGAAACGCTGCAATATTTGTTTTATTGTTTACAGAATTTGTTCAAGTCTTTATACATTTTTTCACATGTAGATATAACAAGAACACTTGGATTTATAAAGGATGAGAGTTTGCGAAAATTAAACACAGCAAAAAAAATTATGATATGCATACATACGATATGCTAAACTAATGCTTTGAAATATTTCGCGTGTGTGCAGTTTCTATCAGAGAAAATTTTCCGTGTGAACCCAGATGGTTATCAAAGCTCTTTTGCATCCTCGTTGTCACTCCCTTTGGCATAGACGCAATTTTCATAAAATTCCTATAAATAAGCGCGGCCCGTCCTTATTTGTGCACAATATTTATACGCTACGCATGACCTGAGGCTGGATCGTACGCACCCTTCTGAAGGTATCGAGCTATCGAATAGGTATATATACCTGAAAAATCGAAGAGTAAAGAAAGAGAGAAGGTAGAATAGATAACACCTTTAACACACCTGTAAAGGATCAATACCTTCGACATTGATTCTTTCTCCCATGGAGCATAGTGCGATCGGAGTCGTGTAACGTTGAAAAACAAAATTCTCCGTCATATTCTTTAAATTTATAATATCACAGACACAATTGAATTTTATAAATTTTGGCGTATATTTTTTTAACATATTTTCGCAGCTCGATTTTTCTTGGAACGTATTTGCTAAATTTACTGGGGCATTATTATTATTTTTTTAATGAAATGAATATTATACGCAAATATGTTGAAATACTAGTCATTGAACAACATCACTACTAAGTTTAATAACTAACATTGGCTCGCGTTTTATGTAACGTAACGATGATGCAACGTAACGATGTGTGGTTATGTAAAATACCAACAAGTGTTCAAGCGAATAACACTGCTCTCCTAGCTAATTGACGTCGCTATCTTGGAACAGGAGAGGTTGAATTGTAATAGATACAGAAGAACCAAGATCATAAAGAAAATTATCGTGCATGTCAGCGAGTTTGCGAATTTGTTCTAATATTCAATCCTATGATTGCAAAAATAAAATGAGGGAGAGTTTTTTTTATCTTTATGTTAACGAATGTTTGTTCTTGCTCTAATAATGCTCTTATTAATTAAAATACTTGATATTAAGAAAGATAAGCAAATTGTGTTAAAGCTTGCATCCCGGTTAGAAAAAATTTTTGACAATTTTAATTATTCCTTACGATTTTATTGCATAATTATTTAATCTAAAATAATATTTTTTTTAATGACTAATAAACAAATCTATTACGCTCGGTCTACGATCTACGGTTGGATTAATATTTGCAGATAACAAGAAAAAAATATACGAATATATATGAACCATACGATGTATAATACACTATCTCTAGAACACAGAATACGTTCAAGAGATTATTATAGATCACCTCGACATTAAACTTGTTAAATTTAATGGAAGATGGATATCGATTTTGACGAAAGACAGAAAAGTCACGTAAAACATTTTTAAAGAAGATGAATTTTTTCGACCTCTCGAAATATAGATGCTACGGTAAAAGAAGTCGCGTGACGAATCAGTAGAGGGGAGGTGAAAGGGATGGGATGGGGGTGGACGACAGGCGTCGGTAGTGGCAGGACCCCATCGTCGTGAAATCGACGAGCAAATACTTAAGGCGTAACCTCGTTACCCTAGCAGCCAGTGGAAAAGCGTGGAAAATCCTCTCTGAACCCGCCTTTAGCGGCGGCGACGCGGAAAACTCTCTTCCGGTCGTTCGGCGTTCGTTCGACTGTTCGAAATGCAATAGGAATACGTCGATGCGCGCCCGTAAAAGTGAATATATGAATCATCGGGTACACATACGGATGAAAAAATATGGATGGGAGGTCTTGCGGAGAATTCTTCCTTGGTTACAGATTGCTACGAAGGAACGTATTCGCGAATTGTTTGCAAAGTCCCATTCGTTTGTGTCCGTCTATCTTTGCGAGAAAATTTATATTTTCTAATGTATATACGAAGTTTTTTATTCGAGATTTTTTAATCTATATACAAAATTAAAAAATTATTTTCACAGAAATAAAAAGAGAAAGAGAAAGCTCGTAGCAATAATTAGATGATGTCGGAAAAATTAAAATACTACCAAATTTTTGGAAGTTTTATATTTCTCTGATTTTATGAATAATATAATTATCTATCTATTAGATTTATGAATCTTTAAGTTCTATAAAATTTTAAGCTGAGAGTTATATAATTTTGTTTATTCTCTCAACTTTGAGATATTCCCATTTTTTATTTTCCGTGTGTCGCCCAAGTAATCGTTGCTCATTTAATAAAAAATTGTACAAAATCTTTGCTAATTTATTCTCCAGATCAACTTTATACATATTGTGAAATTTTGAAACATGGATTTTGACGCAGCAATAGCTATATATGATAAATCATCGCTACACATCGGAAATTGCATTTTTGACATTAAAATCATGTGCAGTAAATTATGCATCACCGTTGATTTTGCTTAATCTATAACTTTCGGTTGCACGCAGCCCCGCGTAATGCAAATCGTTCTCGGCGAGAAATCGCACTTTTCGGAGCGGCGCGTAGAGAGACGGCTAATGACGGGAAAGTTTGAAAACGACCGATCGACATGATGTAAGCCGAAATGGTTGCGGGAAAGCGAAACGGGGGTAACGGCAAGACACGAGTTTCCGAAGCGAACTCGCAGGCGCATAATGCGCTCGCGTACACCCTGTCTTGCGCTAATTACACTAACTCAAGCTAAAACGGACTAAGTAACGATGTAAACGGGTTTCCTCCCCCCCCCCCCCTCCTTCCCCCTTATCTCCTTCCCTCGTCCGTGCGCTCGCGCGAGCACGTAGGATAATTACCTAATTCGGCCATGCGTAATTGCCGGTGATTAAAGTGTCGCTTTCGTGGCACGGCAGGAACGACGTGACATTTCACCGACAGCTGCAACCGATACGGATATCTCGTTTCTTCCATCGCTGATTCCTAACTCACGAAGTTTAGATTAGGAAAATCGTATAGTCGAGCGAATACCGCGCGCGAGCGATTATCATCAAGTTATCGACTTCCGTTATCATCATTCGGGAAATGCGTCCACAAGAAAGGAAATATCATACAATTAAGAAAATATATTTACGTAGGATTCAGAGGTTCGCTTAGATGGCTACGAAATATTAATGGATAAGTCAGTTTCGATGGCAGCCATCGCCAATGTAAATCACCCCAAGAAGAACAATCGTTTGTGAGACGTAGCCGCGAAATAATTCTGATACCGGCGCGAAGTGAATGCGTTAAATAAATTTGAGAAGAGAGCGATTCGTCGATGCGTTTTACAATAGTGATCTTCATCGAGATAGAGTTTTATACAATGCAGAGACTACAATACTACGGAGCGCTCTCCAGTTTCGTAACATCATTTTTTCTCGACGGCAGAGAACGAGTTTGAAGTCGGTACCGGGGAGAGAGCGAGCGAGCACAGGGGTTTAGAATAAATCAAGTGGAAGGGCTGCGTGAGCCCGCGAGAGTAGAGAAGCATTCGGGCCCGTCTTTGTACAGGTCCGCTACGCGAGAAGGTCCTAAGAGAGAGAGAAGAAAAAGGATGTTGGATAGAGAAGAAGGGGTAGGAGGGAGCGAGGGAGACTGGGCGGAGGAGAAAGAGAGAGTACAAGAAAAAGAAGGAGCAAGAGCCACGTTGCAGGAGCAACGACTGAAGATATCAATCAACGGGCGCATTGTGCTCAAGGATAATTTGACGCGCGGCTGAAAGGGCCAGATCTCAAATTCCACGATCGGATAATGGCTTCTATAAGACCCAAAAAAGGGAGGGCCCCTAGGGTATGTACCAAACCGCAGCTTATATAGACAGCTTCGTTTTCGAGCCACCAAAGACACTGTCCTTATCCGATTGTCTCTTCTAGACACGAAACTTTTGTTTCTGATGAGATCTATTATCCGCTAAATCTCAAAAGTCGTCTTAAAAAAATTAGCAATGACTGCACATCTCACCTCTTTGATAAATCTCATTAACTGTTGCATGGAAACATCTTTCTTTTCCTCTGTGTGATATTTCGTTCATATTCAATTCCTCAAAACGAATAAATCTAAATTCTTATTTGAAGCCTTAGGAAAAAAAAAAATGATTTGTTTGAAATACCGTACAATTTCAATTGTGCAGTACTAATCGCGCCTTCGAGAAGTGAAGTGACTAAACGCGGCGGTATCCGACGGCTGAGAGTGAGACAACCGCTCCTATAAAATCTCTATAACATATACTCCTTTCTATAGCAAAGGAGTTGAAATTTTGTCTGCGACATTTTGTCGATCCCTCTCTGTCTCGATCAAAAATTTCTTTTTGGCGTATTTTCTATATATTTATTATGATACAGTATTAATTCAGGAAAATATTTAATATTCGCGTTTACTTTAGAAAATTGGCGATTGTTCCGTGCGATTTCAAAAAGGATTAACAATGATTTACAGAGATCTGAGAGATCTTTGTTAATAAAAAAAAAAAAAAAATACATACCAACAGATGTACGTTTACTTAGTCTTGCGCAATAAGAGAGCTTAGTCGCTATGAAATATTATCGCAATATCCGTCTCTAACGACTCGATCGCGTGCGATTAGTATTCTCCTTGATACGTCATTCAATCGAGATCTCGTGATCGCATCCATATCTTTCCTCGTTTTCTATCTCAGTGTTGGTTATCCTTAGAAAACGCGCGCGCTTATATTCTACATACAGAAAATTCCCATAATTCGATGTTGAAAAATACGTGTATATTTCGTGTGACCAATTCCTCTCTCTCTCTCTCTTTCTCTCTTGTGTTCTCTTTTCATCATACGGGTACTTCATTATATAATAAAAAATCTGATTTTCATAAAGTAGCAATTATTAGAATAATTTACATTAAGAATTAAAATCATATTAGCAAATATTTTATACCATTTGTTATGAAATGAGTAACAATCACATATGCGACACTTAAAAATGATAAATGAGAATAATATGAATTGACCACACAGAATTAAATAATTTTTAACTTAAAATTCTGGAAGATTTATTAAAGATTCGTAGATATAACAAATAGATGATACATTAATCATAAAGTCGGAGAAATATAAAACGCCTAAAAATTGAATAATATTATTTTAATTGAATTCACTTTTACTTAAATTTTTTTAATTAATTCATTTTCAACGAAAAAAACCATTTATCCTCTCAATCAAATCTTTAAAAAGCGTATATATTAAGGCGTTGAACCTCAAAGGCTTTGAAGATAGAAATATTCTGTCAATACGGTGCGTGAAACTATCGAAAAGCGCGCATAAGTCTTCTTCTTTTCGCCTCGCTCCGACAAGTTCAATCTAAGGACTTGACTTTTGGATTCTCTTAAATGTAGGATTAAGATCCTCAAAAGAGTGGCACAAGGATTCGCAGACGGACGTTACGTACAATGCAACCCCGGGGCGCTGCTACCTGTGACATGGCACGTGCCCTTTCTTTCCGTGGATTTGACAAATTTTCCGGTCTGGCAGGTCAACGTCCGATCTACGAACACCTTCGCGTGTTCCACAGGTGGACCCTCAAAGCACACTAAAGCGAAGGACAATCGCGGTCAACTTGTTTGTCTAACAGGTGGATCTATTCCAGTAACGATGATCACTCGAAAATTGTTTGCGGAACTCATTCTCGGTGAGATACCGTAATCTTTTAGGTAGTCCCGATACATTTCATGATGTTTGTGAACATCCCCGAAATATGAATACACGAACGCTTATAAATGCGGCTGCATTTTTTTCTGCTGGAAAAGTGAATTTAAAAACCGATTTTTATTATCGGGCACTTTGAAACATCAAACGTTGAGAGAAAAGTGTATCATTTATGGGCACTGCACCATCAACATTGCTGCATCAAAATAAATAAGTCTTTTATTATAAATTTTTCAAAAAAAAAAAAAAAAGAAATTTTTTTGAAATATTGCGGAAAACCACGTTTACTTAAAATATGTGAAATGAGACCATGTAAAAAAATTCGTGTACTGAAAAGATACTGAAAATATTACATTATTGCATACATATAAAGAACATTCAATTATCAAGCTGTAGAGCAATATTTTAATAAATCTCTGATTTTTTATTCACCTTTAAAGAACTCGATATGTTATCAAGAAATATTTAGTTAACTCATAGCGTGTTCAAATTTCATTAATTTAGCTGCAGAGAAAACATTGTCTATAAATAGAAAAAGAAATATTACATCAGCCTTTAAATTCTATCGCGATCTGAATAACTCTGATAACTTTTCATTCGTAGTCATAGGGTAAACGTAACTCTCGTCGTTTTTTGCGATTAAATTCTCGGCAAAAAAATAATAGCGATAATGAATGTGAAATTTATTCAAAATTATTCTCAGGATATTTTCTCTTACCTCACTTGTTTTTATCTGATCGTACTGAATATCTCGGATCATAAGTGCCGTCGGCGGGTTACACGTCCAAGTAACAAGTTCGTCAATATACGAGTAGTGGATACATTTACGTTTGGAACTTATGCTTGCGAATAGCATGTAGTGCAGTTTTACTCCACTTTTACCACTTTTTACATTTTTACACTTTTCGCACTCGCAGCGCTTCTTTGCAGTTCCCTTCTTTACGTTGTTATCGTTATTGGACAACGTTAACACGATACCATGAATTTCGCAGTGTGGTCACTGTTACGTTGCACCTTTAACGTTCTTACGATCTTCATAAGCAGTATACTTGAAACTTGAAGATTACTTTATCTCGATTTTATACACCATCCAGATCGCGAATGGAATTTCGCGAACGCTTGTGAATGGAAATGAAGAAGATGACTTATGCGATTTAGTGTATCACGTGGTTTAAACACGGTGCAGCACAAACTTTCGTGTCATTCGCCCAAGTTATATATGCGATTGCACTTCAGTGTCATTTTGCACGCACCTGTCTTTGAGTACGATTATTTTTCCTCACGTGGATATTCGCGCGATTTTGACTTAATAGATTTTTTTGTAATGTAATCTTCAAGTGTTGAATAATTTTCCCCAATTCCTTCTTAATCTTTTTATAACTGAAGATACTTTTTTCCGACGCTTCATTTCTTGAAGTTTCAAATGATAACGAGTCTCCTTCTGATAGATGTTTGCAAACATCTGTTAACTATGATTCATTAATCAGCTTTCAATTGCATTGCTTTTTCTTCACTCCGATATGAGTAATTACTCACGAAGGACAATTTGCAAGTAGTTCCAAAGACTGAATTGGACTTTTAACTTGGTCTTCTACACTATGCACCGAAACTTAACAATCTCGTATCTCTCAAGTTCTTCTTGACATCGGTAACTGAAGATCTTCGAAGTCGAATCCACTCCAGATCGTTAAATCAACCAGGAGTAGAATAGTTGTTGCTGCTTTCTAATTTTATCTGTTTATTGTCGTCACCGTGGCCAGAAAAAAAAAAAAGAAGAGAACAACGTTGAGAGTAGAAGAAGAGACTAATGCTCAGGAAGGTCCATACTGCCTGGCGGTTTGATCGCTGAAGACTGAGCCCCCCCCCTCCTTCCCCCTTATCTCCTTCCCTCGTCCGTGCGCTCGCGCGAGCACGTAGGATAATTACCTAATTCGGCCATGCGTAATTGCCGGTGATTAAAGTGTCGCTTTCGTGGCACGGCAGGAACGACGTGACATTTCACCGACAGCTGCAACCGATACGGATATCTCGTTTCTTCCATCGCTGATTCCTAACTCACGAAGTTTAGATTAGGAAAATCGTATAGTCGAGCGAATACCGCGCGCGAGCGATTATCATCAAGTTATCGACTTCCGTTATCATCATTCGGGAAATGCGTCCACAAGAAAGGAAATATCATACAATTAAGAAAATATATTTACGTAGGATTCAGAGGTTCGCTTAGATGGCTACGAAATATTAATGGATAAGTCAGTTTCGATGGCAGCCATCGCCAATGTAAATCACCCCAAGAAGAACAATCGTTTGTGAGACGTAGCCGCGAAATAATTCTGATACCGGCGCGAAGTGAATGCGTTAAATAAATTTGAGAAGAGAGCGATTCGTCGATGCGTTTTACAATAGTGATCTTCATCGAGATAGAGTTTTATACAATGCAGAGACTACAATACTACGGAGCGCTCTCCAGTTTCGTAACATCATTTTTTCTCGACGGCAGAGAACGAGTTTGAAGTCGGTACCGGGGAGAGAGCGAGCGAGCACAGGGGTTTAGAATAAATCAAGTGGAAGGGCTGCGTGAGCCCGCGAGAGTAGAGAAGCATTCGGGCCCGTCTTTGTACAGGTCCGCTACGCGAGAAGGTCCTAAGAGAGAGAGAAGAAAAAGGATGTTGGATAGAGAAGAAGGGGTAGGAGGGAGCGAGGGAGACTGGGCGGAGGAGAAAGAGAGAGTACAAGAAAAAGAAGGAGCAAGAGCCACGTTGCAGGAGCAACGACTGAAGATATCAATCAACGGGCGCATTGTGCTCAAGGATAATTTGACGCGCGGCTGAAAGGGCCAGATCTCAAATTCCACGATCGGATAATGGCTTCTATAAGACCCAAAAAAGGGAGGGCCCCTAGGGTATGTACCAAACCGCAGCTTATATAGACAGCTTCGTTTTCGAGCCACCAAAGAGACTGTCCTTATCCGATTGTCTCTTCTAGACACGAAACTTTTGTTTCTGATGAGATCTATTATCCGCTAAATCTCAAAAGTCGTCTTAAAAAAATTAGCAATGACTGCACATCTCACCTCTTTGATAAATCTCATTAACTGTTGCATGGAAACATCTTTCTTTTCCTCTGTGTGATATTTCGTTCATATTCAATTCCTCAAAACGAATAAATCTAAATTCTTATTTGAAGCCTTAGGAAAAAAAAAAATGATTTGTTTGAAATACCGTACAATTTCAATTGTGCAGTACTAATCGCGCCTTCGAGAAGTGAAGTGACTAAACGCGGCGGTATCCGACGGCTGAGAGTGAGACAACCGCTCCTATAAAATCTCTATAACATATACTCCTTTCTATAGCAAAGGAGTTGAAATTTTGTCTGCGACATTTTGTCGATCCCTCTCTGTCTCGATCAAAAATTTCTTTTTGGCGTATTTTCTATATATTTATTATGATACAGTATTAATTCAGGAAAATATTTAATATTCGCGTTTACTTTAGAAAATTGGCGATTGTTCCGTGCGATTTCAAAAAGGATTAACAATGATTTACAGAGATCTGAGAGATCTTTGTTAATAAAAAAAAAAAAAAAATACATACCAACAGATGTACGTTTACTTAGTCTTGCGCAATAAGAGAGCTTAGTCGCTATGAAATATTATCGCAATATCCGTCTCTAACGACTCGATCGCGTGCGATTAGTATTCTCCTTGATACGTCATTCAATCGAGATCTCGTGATCGCATCCATATCTTTCCTCGTTTTCTATCTCAGTGTTGGTTATCCTTAGAAAACGCGCGCGCTTATATTCTACATACAGAAAATTCCCATAATTCGATGTTGAAAAATACGTGTATATTTCGTGTGACCAATTCCTCTCTCTCTCTCTCTTTCTCTCTTGTGTTCTCTTTTCATCATACGGGTACTTCATTATATAATAAAAAATCTGATTTTCATAAAGTAGCAATTATTAGAATAATTTACATTAAGAATTAAAATCATATTAGCAAATATTTTATACCATTTGTTATGAAATGAGTAACAATCACATATGCGACACTTAAAAATGATAAATGAGAATAATATGAATTGACCACACAGAATTAAATAATTTTTAACTTAAAATTCTGGAAGATTTATTAAAGATTCGTAGATATAACAAATAGATGATACATTAATCATAAAGTCGGAGAAATATAAAACGCCTAAAAATTGAATAATATTATTTTAATTGAATTCACTTTTACTTAAATTTTTTTAATTAATTCATTTTCAAAAAAAACCATTTATCCTCTCAATCAAATCTTTAAAAAGCGTATATATTAAGGCGTTGAACCTCAAAGGCTTTGAAGATAGAAATATTCTGTCAATACGGTGCGTGAAACTATCGAAAAGCGCGCATAAGTCTTCTTCTTTTCGCCTCGCTCCGACAAGTTCAATCTAAGGACTTGACTTTTGGATTCTCTTAAATGTAGGATTAAGATCCTCAAAAGAGTGGCACAAGGATTCGCAGACGGACGTTACGTACAATGCAACCCCGGGGCGCTGCTACCTGTGACATGGCACGTGCCCTTTCTTTCCGTGGATTTGACAAATTTTCCGGTCTGGCAGGTCAACGTCCGATCTACGAACACCTTCGCGTGTTCCACAGGTGGACCCTCAAAGCACACTAAAGCGAAGGACAATCGCGGTCAACTTGTTTGTCTAACAGGTGGATCTATTCCAGTAACGATGATCACTCGAAAATTGTTTGCGGAACTCATTCTCGGTGAGATACCGTAATCTTTTAGGTAGTCCCGATACATTTCATGATGTTTGTGAACATCCCCGAAATATGAATACACGAACGCTTATAAATGCGGCTGCATTTTTTTCTGCTGGAAAAGTGAATTTAAAAACCGATTTTTATTATCGGGCACTTTGAAACATCAAACGTTGAGAGAAAAGTGTATCATTTATGGGCACTGCACCATCAACATTGCTGCATCAAAATAAATAAGTCTTTTATTATAAATTTTTTAAAAAAAAAAAAAAAAAGAAAGAAATTCTTTTGAAATATTGCGGAAAACCACGTTTACTTAAAGTATGTGAAATGAGACCATGTAAAAAAATTCGTGTACTGAAAAGATACTGAAAATATTACATTATTGCATACATATAAAGAACATTCAATTATCAAGCTGTAGAGCAATATTTTAATAAATCTCTGATTTTTTATTCACCTTTAAAGAACTCGATATGTTATCAAGAAATATTTAGTTAACTCATAGCGTGTTCAAATTTCATTAATTTAGCTGCAGAGAAAACATTGTCTATAAATAGAAAAAGAAATATTACATCAGCCTTTAAATTCTATCGCGATCTGAATAACTCTGATAACTTTTCATTCGTAGTCATAGGGTAAACGTAACTCTCGTCGTTTTTTGCGATTAAATTCTCGGCAAAAAAATAATAGCGATAATGAATGTGAAATTTATTCAAAATTATTCTCAGGATATTTTCTCTTACCTCACTTGTTTTTATCTGATCGTACTGAATATCTCGGATCATAAGTGCCGTCGGCGGGTTACACGTCCAAGTAACAAGTTCGTCAATATACGAGTAGTGGATACATTTACGTTTGGAACTTATGCTTGCGAATAGCATGTAGTGCAGTTTTACTCCACTTTTACCACTTTTTACATTTTTACACTTTTCGCACTCGCAGCGCTTCTTTGCAGTTCCCTTCTTTACGTTGTTATCGTTATTGGACAACGTTAACACGATACCATGAATTTCGCAGTGTGGTCACTGTTACGTTGCACCTTTAACGTTCTTACGATCTTCATAAGCAGTATACTTGAAACTTGAAGATTACTTTATCTCGATTTTATACACCATCCAGATCGCGAATGGAATTTCGCGAACGCTTGTGAATGGAAATGAAGAAGATGACTTATGCGATTTAGTGTATCACGTGGTTTAAACACGGTGCAGCACAAACTTTCGTGTCATTCGCCCAAGTTATATATGCGATTGCACTTCAGTGTCATTTTGCACGCACCTGTCTTTGAGTACGATTATTTTTCCTCACGTGGATATTCGCGCGATTTTGACTTAATAGATTTTTTTGTAATGTAATCTTCAAGTGTTGAATAATTTTCCCCAATTCCTTCTTAATCTTTTTATAACTGAAGATACTTTTTTCCGACGCTTCATTTCTTGAAGTTTCAAATGATAACGAGTCTCCTTCTGATAGATGTTTGCAAACATCTGTTAACTATGATTCATTAATCAGCTTTCAATTGCATTTCTTTTTCTTCACTCCGATATGAGTAATTACTCACGAAGGACAATTTGCAAGTAGTTCCAAAGACTGAATTGGACTTTTAACTTGGTCTTCTACACTATGCACCGAAACTTAACAATCTCGTATCTCTCAAGTTCTTCTTGACATCGGTAACTGAAGATCTTCGAAGTCGAATCCACTCCAGATCGTTAAATCAACCAGGAGTAGAATAGTTGTTGCTGCTTTCTAATTTTATCTGTTTATTGTCGTCACCGTGGCCAGAAAAAAAAAAAGAAGAGAACAACGTTGAGAGTAGAAGAAGAGACTAATGCTCAGGAAGGTCCATACTGCCTGGCGGTTTGATCGCTGAAGACTGAGCGCCGTGGTAGCGTTTCGCCGCGTAGTAAGCCGGCTCTCGCCCCGCCATAGGACTCTGTTCCTCTGCCTCTCCACGAGGAGTGTGGAAGCGAGAAAAATGATGGGAAGGAACAGGGATGGAGCGATAGGTGGTAGGAGAAAGAGGGAGAGAGAGAGAGGCACCCGTCCTTCTCGACCCACTCTGATGTTCTGCGCGTCCTGAGAGCAGCGTG